TCAGTTTAGTTTCACTCCCAGAGATTGTGAATTTTTCTTTAAAACCGTTACCATATATATATATATATAAGACGAAGTGTTGTGTTGATGACCAAACGTGCACGCACACGTTTCTAAAGTGAAATGTAAATTGCGTCTTTAAGTAAAACAGACTTTGTGATATGCACCTCTGTAGACAGAAATAATGTCTACGATGGTTTTATCAGGTAACAGGGATTTCAGTGGCATTCTACTCACTGTTGTCTATGAGTTCCGGGGGATTAGAGAAATACAGCAATGCGACAGCCTATAAACAATACTTTTTACTTTGACATTCATATTATAAGCTGCGACTCACTTTTCAACACCTTTTCAATCTTGACATCTAAGTTAGTAACCGATTTTTCTTATAGCCTACTCCAGGATTGTTTTTTTTGACTGAACATTTACTTCAAGAAATCACTGCACAACGGTATTATTATTAATATTGTTTCCTTGAGTGCCTAGTGGAACACAGGGCTTCAACTGCACGTCTCCACTTGCTTCTGTCTTCCTTCTGCTGTACTTTTCATCTCCATCCATGTTAGTCCATACTCTTTCAACTACTCTTCACACCATCTCCTCCATGTCACCCTTGCAATGACGTCCCACTCGAGCTGTGGCCTGACGCCCGATATCACCAACCGGCCTCCTCAACGAGTGTCCAATCCATCTCCACTTTCTCCCGCATATTTGTCACTTGGCGAGTGGTTCTTGTTTTGTTCGTTCCTTCCCATAGTTTCTTGTTGGTGGTTCTTTCCACCCCGACCATCTGATCTTCAGTATAGATCCGGCGAAGACAGTTGTTGGTAAAGGTCTGGTGTGCAACAAAAAGGCTGTTGGAAATATTCTTTGTGACCCGTCCGCCCGCCCGCCAACTTTCTCATCCGTATACAAGAACTGATTGACTTGACGCTGTTTGTATTGAAAATCCGACCGGATTTTGTTGTTGATTCTGGCTGAGTGACGAAGATTTCTTTCCAGATTGGTTTCAGGTTGATCGATGAATGTGTTTCTCGCTCGCCTTCCCGATTCTCGCTCGATTTGACATCCTCGTCCGTCCCGAGTGTCTGTAGTTGAGACAATGCTCCCTAGAAAAATGAGTGAGTGAGTGAATGAAGTAACCTCTTTCAAATCCGTTCCGTTGATGGTGATTGGCGCTGGATGTTGTTGCTGTTGTTGTTGGTTGGTTATTTTCATAACGTCCGTCTTGTCTATGCTCACCTGAAGTCTTGTATAGTTTCAAACACTGTTGTGAAGTAGTGTTAGGGTTTGGAGTCTACAGTCTACTCATCTCCCAATAATCATTAAATATCAATGAAGTAATCATTACAGAATAAGATGACGTTGATTATTTGTCTTTGTTCTAGTTGTGTTCTCTGAATGGGATGATTTAATTACAAAACTTTCATTATTCATCCCAACAGCATCTTCACCTGATCCATAGATCGTCTCCATCATTGCGACAGTAAGCTCCAACCATCTAATATCATAAAATCTTATCTATAATGGAGACATAGCTGTTATTGTACTAGGTTTTGTTGCCAAGTGGAGAATGAGGTGGGTGGTGTGGATGTTGTGAATCTGTATTTTGGTATTTCATTAATATCACAGAAAATAGTTGCTATCGAACAGACATTTATATATCTACATAAATTTTAAGTTAATTTAAGCTAAGCGGTGATTTAAACAGTTAATAAAGTTTACTGGAAAAAACAAGATTATCCCGATTTCAGTACAAAATTATCAAGCGATTCCAATGTACCAGATAAATTAACATCTTTTTATCTTCAGCTTAAAATGCATAAATGCATTGAATATACATTATACCCTAATATCTCTTGAATAAGTTTCAGCTAGACCCTGTAATGTTCTCTCCCTTCCTTCCTTCATTCTACTTCTAGGTTGGTTGGTGTGTATACTCTATTGTTTTTAAATTTTATTCACGTTATCTCCATTCCAATGTAATTACGTTGTTCAGGCTCGCCTGTGAAAACGCCATGAATATCAATAAATACACTTAAATACAACATTTAAACTAATTAGGTTGTTCTCAGTTAACTGTCTCCTCAATATGTTTGTTTGGTTTTTAAGATCACGAGTTAAGCTAAAAGGAAGCCTTCGAACGAGAACATAGTTACACACCTGTATGAGATAAAGAAAGAAAGAGAGAGAGAGGGAGATTCTTTATTTTTCAAATTAACGTGATTTGAAATGGTCAAATCAAGAGAGCTTTCCGAATAATGTATAACTTGTGTGTACCAAGAGTGTGTGTGTGTGTGCGTCAGAGAGAGAGAGAGAAAGGGAGTAGATAAAAGAAACTCTCGGACTTTCAAGGTCTGCTCAACAGAAACACGAATCAATCTTTCTTTATACTCAAACAACCAGTATATAACTGACAAATTCAACATTTATGCACAACAAATGTGTATAAATATGATTTATTTAGACATGGTTAGTGTGAATGAATGTACACATATTTGTTTCGAAATTTAAATCGAAGTCATTAAAACATCAATGTGAATGCATATTCTTCTTTCGTGTGTGTGTGTGTGTTTAATGTATACTGATATCTGAGTTGTGTGTAACTTTTTTTTCTGAATATGCCCATGTTTAGAAGTGCATTATTCCTGTGAAGATTCAAATCCTATGAACTAAATTTATGGACACTGGTAAAGCACAAAATAAAATGGATTTTTAAAAAACGCAACAACTATGAAAACGTAGAAAAATTAACAGTTGTGCAAATGAACTTTTCCTTATAATAGTCTAAAAAGCATGTAGTAATGCATGTGTTAGTTACGAGGATGAAAACAACCTATGCTCACAACCGCATACACACACACATTGCAGTTAGTTTGCTCTAGTGAACTAATCTGATAAGAAGAGTTTCTAGTTGAAAGTGTTGTAAATAACTCTAGGTGACCGAGTAGTAATACCTAACTAATAAACTTCACTAGCATAGATAGTCCATCAGTGAAATGTTCGCCAACCACCCATGTGGTTCGGGGTTCGATGTCTTCAGGGAAGGTTGGGCGTGAGGCTAGTAACCCCCCCCCTGATGAAAATAAACACCACTGCTACTGAAACTTCACAGCTGAAGTTTGAAGCTCTATGTTCCACTTGGAACAAAAAGGAATAAAATAAATAAATTTTAAAAAAAACTTCATTCGAAGTAAGTGTATTGACTTCGTTTGTGTAACTCTTGTCAACCAGTCTGCACAGGCAACAGATTATCAGCTTTGCTGTCGTCATTACATTAGTTGTTTTCTTTATTTAAAAAATTCGTTTCCTCCAGCAATCCAGTAACTCTGTAATTTTACGCTTCTCTTCATTCTTTAGTCACTCCTCAATCTGGGCATTTAGGCTACTACTCGAGTACTACGGCGTACCCAAATATTCAACCTTATTCAACAGGTGTACGACGACGGCACATATTAAGTGATCCACAACGGAAAACTCAGCGAGGCGTTTGGAGTAAACACAGGAGTCAGACAATGGTGCTTATTATCACCAATTATATTCCTAATTGTGGTGGACTGGATTATGCGTCAGACAGTGGGAAAAGAGAAGACAGGAATATCCTGGACAAACAGACGTGAAGAACCTAGAAGACCTGGATTTCGCTCGGTGATGATTTTTGTTTGATGTCACACAAAATCGAAGACTTACAAGCGAAAACCGACAAACTGGTCGAAGGAGCTGCCAGCAAAGACAGGACTCCATGTGAACATAGACAACCAAAAACAACAACATCCAGCGCCAATCACCATCAACGGGAGGGATTTGAAAGAGGTTGCTTCATTCACTCACTCACTCATCTAGGGAGCATTGTCTCAACTACAGACACTCGGGACGGACGAGGATGTCAAATCGAGCGAGAATCTGGAAGGCGAGCGAGAAACACATTCACTCATCTACCTGAAACCAATCTGGAAGGAAATCTTCGTCACTCAGCCAGAATCAACAACAAGATTCGGTCGGATTTTCAATACAAACAGCGTCAAGTCAATCAGTTCTTGTATACGGATGAGAAAGTTGGGGCGGGCGGGCGGACGGGTCACAAAGAATATTTCCAACAGCCTGTTGCAGACCAGACCTTTACCAACAACTGTCTTCGCCGGATCTATACTGAAGATCAGATGGTCGGGGTGGAAAGAACCACCAACAAGAAACTATGGGAAGGAACGAACAAAACAAGAACCACTCGCCAAGTGACAAATATGCGGGAGAAAGTGGAGATGGATTGGACACTCGTTGAGGAGGCCGGTTGGTGATATCGGGCGTCAGGCCACAGCTCGAGTGGGACGTCATTGCAAGGGTGACATGGAGGAGATGGTGTGAAGAGTAGTTGAAAGAGTATGGACTAACATGGATGGAGATGAAAAGTACAGCAGAAGGAAGACAGAAGCAAGTGGAGACGTGCAGTTGAAGCCCTATGTTCCACTAGGAACCCAAGGGAACAATAATATAAATAATAATAATAATAGATGGTTGTAGGCAATCGGTAGGATGCCTTGAACCTAGGTTTCGTGCTAGTTGGCACTCATCAGCAAGGTGTATCTGCAACCTTGAAGGACTAGAGGACTAGACACGTAACACTAGTTACTAGTGTGAAATCAAAAGATAAGATTTTATTTTGATAAATCACACAGTGTTGGACAGTAAGTATTATGAACTGAAGACGTTTCTAGCATAAATTATTACTGTTCATAATCATATCAAGTAAATGACACAACTGTTTTTGCTTCACTTATATGCATGAGTAAAAAATCTTATCCATAATGGAGTTGTAGTCAACCATGGTGCCCAAGTTTTATACTTATATCAATAAAAGCTGTGTCTATTTGATAACAGATCAACTGTTTGAGGTTTCAGTCAGAAGTCTACGGTTAACTTACCAGCACAATCCATTCAGTTTAATTGTTAATACTGAGCCACAGGAAACCTAAGGAGAGTGAGCTAAATGACCACAGAAGCAAATGGATAACAGTTTAAAACATCGTCAAATACTGTTGGAAATTTTCAAATCAGTAGCAGACTATTCTGCGCAGTAACTAATATCTACACTGAGTGATAATAGTTCATGCAATATTCAGCTTAAATGTGATTAAGAAGTCAATTATCCTTAAGAAACGTCTGCATACCTTGTATGGTTTACAAGTTCACTGTAAACTAGACTAGACTGCACTTACTAAGGAATTAATTCTCATTAAAAGTCCATTCAACTGTTTAGATAATATTGTTCGGATTAGATTGGATTATATATATTCTTGAATATGGTCCAAATTCATTTATTCAGATCATTTGAAAGTACTTTTAAAAATAAAATGTTTGTTAGCAGAAAAAAAGATTAAAACAGGTCTTTATTTTGCAGTATTTTTTTTGCTTTTCTTGAATCTCGTGTCAGTTAAATGAATAGTGATCACTATCTTCTGTTTAGGTTGTTATTTATTTCTATTGTTTTGCATTCCAAATGGAACGGCTTCAAACTTGAGCTTTGAAGTTTCAGGAGTAGTAGTAGTAGTAGTAGTAGTAGTAGTAGTAGTAGTAGTAGTAGTAGTAGTAGTAGTAGTAGTAGTAGTAGTAGTAGTAGTAGTAGTAGTAGTAGTAGTAGTAGTAGTAGTAGTAGTAGTAGTAGTAGTAGTAGTAGTAGTAGTAGTAGTAGTAGTAGTAGTAGTAGTAGTAGTAGTAGTAGTAGTAGTAGTAGTAGTAGTAGTAGTAGTAGTAGTAGTAGTAGTAGTAGTAGTAGTAGTAGTAGTAGTAGTAGTAGTAGTAGTAGTAGTAGTAGTAGTAGTAGTAGTAGTAGTAGTAGTAGTAGTAAGTAGTAGTAGTAGTAGTAGTAGTAGTAGTAGTAGTAGTAGTAGTAGTAGTAGTAGTAGTAGTAGTAGTAGTAGTAGTAGTAGTAGTAGTAGTAGTAGTAGTAGTAGTAGTAGTAGTAGTAGTAGTAGTAGTAGTAGTAGTAGTAGTAGTAGTAGTAGTAGTAGTAGTAGTAGTAGTAGTAGTAGTAGTAGTAGTAGTAGTAGTAGTAGTAGTAGTAGTAGTAGTAGTAGTAGTAGTAGTAGTAGTAGTAGTAGTAGTAGTAGTAGTAGTAGTAGTAGTAGTAGTAGTAGTAGTAGTAGTAGTAGTAGTAGTAGTAGTAGTAGTAGTAGTAGTAGTAGTAGTAGTAGTAGTAGTAGTAGTAGTAGTAGTAGTAGTAGTAGTAGTAGTAGTAGTAGTAGTAGTAGTAGTAGTAGTAGTAGTAGTAGTAGTAGTAGTAGTAGTAGTAGTAGTAGTAGTAGTAGTAGTAGTAGTAGTAGTAGTAGTAGTAGTAGTAGTAGTAGTAGTAGTAGTAGTAGTAGTAGTAGTAGTAGTAGTAGTAGTAGTAGTAGTAGTAGTAGTAGTAGTAGTAGTAGTAGTAGTAGTAGTAGTAGTAGTAGTAGTAGTAGTAGTAGTAGTAGTAGTAGTAGTAGTAGTAGTAGTAGTAGTAGTAGTAGTAGTAGTAGTAGTAGTAGTAGTAGTAGTAGTAGTAGTAGTAGTAGTAGTAGTAGTAGTAGTAGTAGTAGTAGTAGTAGTAGTAGTAGTAGTAGTAGTAGTAGTAGTAGTAGTAGTAGTAGTAGTAGTAGTAGTAGTAGTAGTAGTAGTAGTAGTAGTAGTAGTAGTAGTAGTAGTAGTAGTAGTAGTAGTAGTAGTAGTAGTAGTAGTAGTAGTAGTAGTAGTAGTAGTAGTAGTAGTAGTAGTAGTAGTAGTAGTAGTAGTAGTAGTAGTAGTAGTAGTAGTAGTAGTAGTAGTAGTAGTAGTAGTAGTAGTAGTAGTAGTAGTAGTAGTAGTAGTAGTAGTAGTAGTAGTAGTAGTAGTAGTAGTAGTAGTAGTAGTAGTAGTAGTAGTAGTAGTAGTAGTAGTAGTAGTAGTAGTAGTAGTAGTAGTAGTAGTAGTAGTAGTAGTAGTAGTAGTAGTAGTAGTAGTAGTAGTAGTAGTAGTAGTAGTAGTAGTAGTAGTAGTAGTAGTAGTAGTAGTAGTAGTAGTAGTAGTAGTAGTAGTAGTAGTAGTAGTAGTAGTAGTAGTAGTAGTAGTAGTAGTAGTAGTAGTAGTAGTAGTAGTAGTAGTAGTAGTAGTAGTAGTAGTAGTAGTAGTAGTAGTAGTAGTAGTAGTAGTAGTAGTAGTAGTAGTAGTAGTAGTAGTAGTAGTAGTAGTAGTAGTAGTAGTAGTAGTAGTAGTAGTAGTAGTAGTAGTAGTAGTAGTAGTAGTAGTAGTAGTAGTAGTAGTAGTAGTAGTAGTAGTAGTAGTAGTAGTAGTAGTAGTAGTAGTAGTAGTAGTAGTAGTAGTAGTAGTAGTAGTAGTATAGTAGTAGTAGTAGTAGTAGTAGTAGTAGTAGTAGTAGTAGTAGTAGTAGTAGTAGTAGTAGTAGTAGTAGTAGTAGTAGTAGTAGTAGTAGTAGTAGTAGTAGTAGTAGTAGTAGTAGTAGTAGTAGTAGTAGTAGTAGTAGTAGTAGTAGTAGTAGTAGTAGTAGTAGTAGTAGTAGTAGTAGTAGTAGTAGTAGTAGTAGTAGTAGTAGTAGTAGTAGTAGTAGTAGTAGTAGTAGTAGTAGTAGTAGTAGTAGTAGTAGTAGTAGTAGTAGTAGTAGTAGTAGTAGTAGTAGTAGTAGTAGTAGTAGTAGTAGTAGTAGTAGTAGTAGTAGTAGTAGTAGTAGTAGTAGTAGTAGTAGTAGTAGTAGTAGTAGTAGTAGTAGTAGTAGTAGTAGTAGTAGTAGTAGTAGTAGTAGTAGTAGTAGTAGTAGTAGTAGTAGTAGTAGTAGTAGTAGTAGTAGTAGTAGTAGTAGTAGTAGTAGTAGTAGTAGTAGTATAGTAGTAGTAGTAGTAGTAGTAGTAGTAGTAGTAGTAGTAGTAGTAGTAGTAGTAGTAGTAGTAGTAGTAGTAGTAGTAGTAGTAGTAGTAGTAGTAGTAGTAGTAGTAGTAGTAGTAGTAGTAGTAGTAGTAGTAGTAGTAGTAGTAGTAGTAGTAGTAGTAGTAGTAGTAGTAGTAGTAGTAGTAGTAGTAGTAGTAGTAGTAGTAGTAGTAGTAGTAGTAGTAGTAGTAGTAGTAGTAGTAGTAGTAGTAGTAGTAGTAGTAGTAGTAGTAGTAGTAGTAGTAGTAGTAGTAGTAGTAGTAGTAGTAGTAGTAGTAGTAGTAGTAGTAGTAGTAGTAGTAGTAGTAGTAGTAGTAGTAGTAGTAGTAGTAGTAGTAGTAGTAGTAGTAGTAGTAGTAGTAGTAGTAGTAGTAGTAGTAGTAGTAGTAGTAGTAGTAGTAGTAGTAGTAGTAGTAGTAGTAGTAGTAGTAGTAGTAGTAGTAGTAGTAGTAGTAGTAAGTAGTAGTAGTAGTAGTAGTAGTAGTAGTAGTAGTAGTAGTAGTAGTAGTAGTAGTAGTAGTAGTAGTAGTAGTAGTAGTAGTAGTAGTAGTAGTAGTAGTAGTAGTAGTAGTAGTAGTA